TCCCAAGGGATGCAACAAATGTTCAGGTGAGGAGGAAGTTGAGACTGTCACCTAGCCATGTTGGTCATCATGCTACTGGAACTATAGGCAAAGAAGAGGATTACTGTGCTTGCTGGGGAATTGGTCCTGATTATCAAGAGAAAACAGGGTTCCTGCTACAACTTGGGGATAAGGAATGTTTGAAACTCAAGGCATTCCATGGAGAGCTTTCTTAGTACTTACATGTCCAGAGGCAAAGTTAATGGAAGACACCACCACCAGCATAGGCAGGGTCACCCTCTCAGGAATGAGACCCTTAACCATCTGAAGAGCTGGCTGGAGGCAAAGGGAACATGGGATGGGGAGTGGACTAAGAAAGTCAATAAATACCAACCATGGCACAGTGGTTAAGAGTTTGGCTGCTAACCAAAAGGTCAGCAGTTCAAATCCATCCTTGAAATCCCTGGAAACCTATGGGGCAGTTCTACTCTGTCCTATAGGGTCACTATAAGTCGGAATTGACTTGACGGCACAGGTTTGGTTTGGTTTGGATTATGCTTCATGAACGAGTGCTAAAATGAGAACCCTAACAAGTATGCGTACTTTACCCCTTGTGTTGTTATGAATGTATATTAACGTTAGCAAATTAGTTTTATTATCAGCAACCAATTTTCCCCCTTCCATTTTGTATAAAATATGTTGATGATTGTGGTTAACATTTTAAGTCTTTAGGTTACAGGCTATAAAGGGCAATTGTGACTGACCTGGAAATGGATATGGTAACTTAAGGGACTTTGGGTCTCTGCTTTTTGGGGAAAGAACGAGAGCCTGTTCATTTGTATGAGGACAGTCACACCATGTCAGGCAAAAGCCTGCCTTTGTTACTATCCTTGTTTGTCTCGAAGTCGAATATTATTGTTTAATAGCCGAAGGGGTGGACTGTGCTGGATTTCCTCTTGACAGTTCAGCGCTATTTTCCCCATCTAAGCTCTCTCCTGTACCACAGCAGTTGGGAGTCTTGGAATCTAGGTTTCCCCTAATCTTTACCAGCAGGGCTCTGGGATAGATTCCTCTAATGCCAGGCACTCATGTGAGATCTGGAAGGCAGAAGTGAAGCAGAAGCTATATAATTGTTCCCCTGGCAACAGTGGGCAGACATACGGGTTTTTGTAGATGAGTCATTTTACAGTAGCATCTACCCATTTTCCTTGACAACTTCCTTGAGTCCCTGAACCAGCCCCAAACTGCCTAACCCCTTTGGGAAATAAACTCTCAGGTTAAGTCACTGTAGTTGGACTTTCTAGTACATGCAGTTCAGCATAAGCCTGGTAGAATGCCTGTAAAAGGGATGACACTCAGTTACAGTTTTCATTTTCAAACAAAATTAAATATGCAAACACATCTGCAGAGACAAAGGTTTTCTAGGACTAAAATCTGAGCAATAACAGAATATTCTTGTTTGAAAGAGGGATATTAAGCAATCCGGTGGGTAATGGATAATGCATTAAACTCCATTTGTGCCAAAGACACTGAATCATTGATATGAAAGCTCTTGTAATGATCCTTGTATAATGGCTGAAGGTTTATCATCAAAGTATAATTCAGGGATGGCATTTATGCAGGTAAATGAGATAACATGATTCAAGTACTTCGCTTTCAGTGATAGAACATTGTAAGAATGGTTAACACGTGCATCGAACATTCAGTAAATTACAGCTACTTAAGCAAATTGTTGATAAAGGCTTTGTGATTTCATTACCTACTGTCTTAGGCTGGGTTCTCTAGAGAAGCAAAACCAGTAAAGTGTATAAATATATATATAGAGAGAGATTGTATCAAGGAAACAGCTCAAGTGATTGTAGAGGCTAGAACGTCCCAAGTCCGTGGATCAGGGTAGAGGTCTCTCCCAAGTCACACAGCTGCAGAAGCTGGCAAGCCCAAGATCGGAAGGTTGGAGAGCAGGGCTCCCACTCACAGGCTGTGCAGATCGACGAATCCCAGGTTCGGCAGATAAGCTGACAGCTCAAGTCCCAAGAACGGGAGATGAGACGACAAGAAGCAGCCGCAGGATCCAGAGAGAGCAAAAAGCCAGAACGTCTGCTTATATACAGATGCGGGCCACACGCCCAAGGAGACTCCCTTTCATCTGATTGGCTACTCACAGTATATTCAATCATGGGAGTGATTACATTAAAACATGGAGAATCATGGCCCAGCCAAGTTGACACACAATCTCAACCATCACACCTACGTTTCTGTAGTGCATCTTTGATATTGTTGATTAACCTGAAAGCCATGTGTTTCAGATACCAGGAATACTGGGCACATTTCTGATGTGCACGTTTAAATAACCACGACCGTTTCAGAGTCTTTTTTGTGCTACTAACTTCCTGGGTATTTCTTGCTTGTTCTGCAGAACAGATCATAAGCTCTTAGAGAGGGAAGGAAGAGAATAGGACATGAATGCAAAGGCAAGCACTGACGTGGTAAGAAAACAGATTCAATGCTTATTGATGACATTTAACATATAGAGATCTCCACCAGAAAGGGAGACGTAGGGCGAGGGAAGATTGTCTAATCTCTTACTGAGATTTTTGAGGTAGCATAATGCAATGGTTAAGAAAGCACAGACTCCTCAGTCTTCTTGGGTTCAAATCCCAGCTCCAACACTTATGGTAACCGAGGCAAGTTAGTTAGACCCTCTGTGCCTCAGTTTCCTTATCTGGAAAAGGAGGATAATTTTCTTACTTCAATCATTTGTCATGATAATTAGGAAAATTAAGATAAGTAGAGCAAAGTAAATCTTCACTTACATGGTAAACCTATGTTTACTATTACTACTTGTTGCTGTTAGCTGCTGTCGAGTTGGCCCCTGACTCATGGCGACCCCATACGCAACAGAATGAAATGCTGCCCAGTCCTGCACCATCCCCATGACTGGTTGAGGAACAGACCATTAAGATCCATGGGGTTTTCATTGGTTGATTTTTGGAAGTAGATCACCAGGCCTTTCTTCCTAGTCCATCTTACTCTGGAAGCTCTGCTGAAACCTGTTCAGCATCATAGCAACACGCAAGCCTCCTCTAACAGAGGGGTGGTGGCTGCGCATGAGGTGCTTTGGCAATCTACTTCATTGCCGGAATGAAACCCATTATTTTAACAATGTTGAAGATTCTCAAAAATTGCTACAGACGTATGATCTTCATGAAAGGAATGCCTTCATGCAGTAAGCTGCATTCAAAACTATAATAGGAAATAATAAAACCCAATAATCGTGATCATAAGCTCACTTAGCTTTAAATCACATTTGTGATCACCATGAAGCCTCAGGTAATAATGGAACCATATGCTACATCCTTGAGGTGCTGAAGAAACAAGCAAACATTGAAATAATTTTAATGCTGGAGCAATTTTAAAAAAGAAGTTAATTTCCAGATAAAGAACATCGCTGAAAAGCTTTGACTATTAACAAATCTCTACACAGCCAGATGAGCTCCTGTTTTTTTCTTTTAAAGAGTATTGCTGATGTAAAAAACAAACAAACAAACCCGGTTCTGTCGAGTCGATTCCGACTCAGAGCAATCCTATAGGACAAAGTATAACCGCCCCATAGGGCTTCCAAGGCTGTAATCTTTACGGAAGCAGACTGCCACCTTTCTCCCACGGAGAGGCTGGTGGGTTCGAACCTCTGGCCTTTCAGTTAGCAGCCGAGCGCTTTAACCACTGCACCCGTGGGGCACCTGTTGTTGACAGGCACACACATTTAATTCACTGGTTTCCGATAGCTGCTTGAACGCTGATCCTAAGACACAGACAAAGGGATCAGCCTTTCCTGACATTCACCTCCGTGCCTGGGGCCCTTGTTACCGAGGGCATCCCGGCAGGGACACCCCGCTGCTATCTGCACTTGTCTCTCACTGCTGGCATGAGAAACACCGGGGAACATGGACAACGTTGCTCCACTGATGTGATTATACAGTCTGCCCGAACTAAACCATGGCTTATTCTTCCCCGGAGTCCTTTAATTTTCCAGGCTTGTGGTTTCAAATCCTGTGAATGTAAACATTCAGAGTTCCACACGCCCTGCGCCTGCAAGGAGCTAACCAGAGGGTGAGGGGGCTTTGGAAGGAGCCGGCACCACCCCTGCTCGCAGTGACAGGCTCGGGACTGTTCAAGAACATCAAGCCCTGTCCTTTTGACAAAATTGTGATGTGACTTTTAAATAGATTTTCATGATGCTTTCAGTGCAAAATCTCTCATTTTTTTTTTTTAGTGTTCTGTACCCGGGTGATGCAAGCAGTTAAAGCGCTCTGCTGATAACTGGAAGGTTGGAGGTTCAAGTTCACCCAGAGGCACCTCAGAAGAAAGGCCTGGCGATCTAATTCTGAAAAATCTGCCACTGAAAATCCTATGGAGCACAGTTCTGCTCTGACACACGTAAGGCCACCATGAGTCAGAATCGACTCTATGGCAAGTAGACCCGACGGCTCCATAAACTTCGGTAACATGACTGCCAACAGACTGGGTCTCCTAAACCGCTCTGAGTTGCTTCCTGTTTCCATTTACTTAAAAGCAACAAGTGCAGAAGACAAAGAAAGGGGGCAGGCCGCTGCAGCACTACAAGTCCATGCATTTCTGTTAAGGCGAAGAGGTTCTGAAAGACTTCCTGCAGAAACTTACCGCCATGAAGCTATACCATCTCCCCAGACCGGCAGACCCTGTCAATTTCTGAAGCAGAAACAGACCCGGAGCCTGGAGCCTGAGAAGCGGTTTCTGACTGATCCGGCTGCCAGGCTGCTTATACTCGTCTGCGGAAAATACACCACCACCATGTGGTGGATCCTGGCGAGCTTCAGAAACGGCACTCAAGCCCTCGAAAGGCAATGGTGAGTGGAAACACCTGCAAGAAATGCATCCCTTTATTCAGAAACAAGGATTGTACAATTCAAGATCAAAACCAGATGTCTGATGAGTTGTTTCAGAAGGTAAAAACTTGCTCTTCATAAGAAATAATGGTTAAAAAAAAAAAAAAGACTCATTCAGCTTGTTTGGCAAAACACTTTATTCATAAAAACTTCCACTCCGCCTTCACTCTGCTCCAATGCCTCAGAAGGCTGGAAGTTGACGCTGTATATCTGCACAGCTCAAAATCTGAATACCCACTAACGTCTTCGAGCTGTGTTACAATTCTCCACCACTCTCCGCCCCTGCCACCCCTAATCTTTGTGCTTAAAACTAAATACTGACTGAAGAGCTCAGAGGCTGGATAAATCAAACCCCTGCTGTCCTTCCCCACCCCTGCTCCACATAATGGCAGCAAATCCTGCTTGCAAAATTAGCCTTTTTGAAGAGGACGCCATTCTCTGGAATGAAAGCGACTGGCACCAAAATGACTTGTGCTATCAAGTGACCCACGGCCGTGTTTATTGCACTGGGAAAAATTGTTGCTTCCCTCTGTGGTTCCAAGTCTTCTTTACATCTCAAGAAACAGAAAGAATTCAGCGTGCCCGGAAATTCTTGTAACTCTTTTTCTAAGGAAGTATGGGTTTTATTTCTTCTAAGTGAAGGCTTATTTTCTCACCTCTCTCTGGTTCCCTTGCAGCTTGCCTCACCTGATCAAAAATGAGGACTTTGGGTAGGATGGTTAGCAGTTTAAGTAGGTAAAGCTCAGGGGAGATGTCTCAGTGTGACCCCGAGAACAGACAAATGGACAATGAGCTCCACACATCAGCCAACGCAAACCCGCTCTGCTGGTCTTGGAGATGTGAGGTGGGGCTGGCCACCCGATACAGCCTACTGCAAAACCTTCTCAGGATCTTCAGTGCTGCCCCAGTCGGCATCTCCAAGCACTTCCTTCCTGGGCATCAATGATGCCAGGTGCTAAATATATAACAGGGCTTCAAACCCGGTTCATTTCTGTTCGAACTCCTGCTCAGAATTTGCATTTCTAACAAGTTCCCAGGTGATGCTAATGATTCCACCCGATATACTGAATCAGAATCTGCATTTTAACAAGATCCCCAGGTGATTCTTATGTATAATAAATTTTGAGAACCACTGCTCTACTTGTGGTTCTTGGAATTGGTCCCTAACCAGCAGCATTAGCATCGCCTGGGAACCTGTTGGAATTGCAAATTCTCATCAAGGGTTCAAACAGAAAAGAACACTGATATATAACGCTCTTCCCTCCTCCTATCAGGCAATCCAGTGAGCACAAGCTGGGGGCAGGCTGCATACTGACAACAGCTCGTGGGGCGTCCTCAGTGCTCCTCCACTCCTCCCCTTGCCTGGAATCTTTGGAAGTTTCCTCTTCACTGCCTTGCCAACCAGCTCGTGAAGAGTGGGGGTAGGTACCAGAAAGCATTAGAAGGTTTCTCAGAAACTTGAGGGAATAAGAGATCTTGGCAAGCATTCATTTAACACAAGTCAGACACTGTGCCTGGGGCCAGCAACACAGAAATGAGTCTAAGACACGATCCCTGGCCTCTTCCTTCCCTGGAAACTGCTGGAAAGAGAGAACACACTACAAAGCCAGGAGAGCCAGTCTCCTGCCCTCACTCAGTTCACACTGAACATATTCTAATGCTTACGACTAGTTCTTTTACTTACAAATACCACTGATACTTTCAAAGGTCGTACCAATCAACAATAATAATGAATGGATTATATCTATATTGACGGTTCTACCTCAGAATGGACTGCAACCAGGTAAGACTCAACCCCATTTTTCAGGAGAAAGCTATTGAGTCCAAAATGCTTTGGTTATCTCATGAGGGCAGAATTCCTCATGGGTCTATTTATTCCAAGCCCAAGAGAAACAAACTACAGCAAATGTAGGGTCTGAGTTTCCGATCACTACGCTGCGGGTCTTCACGATGCGGATTTGTGCACCTGCTCAGTTCTTTGCTACATTCTCTAACATGCCAACTGGTCCCCTGACGAACGTGCCCCCCAGTCCAGTGCTGAGGCACTGGTTTGAATTCTTCCTGACCTAATGTCTTCCCCCTGCCTTCTCCATAGGCACCTGGCACTGTGGGGTGAAGCAGCTCGAGGGCCGGGTAGAAAGAAAGAGCAAAATGAGAAAACTGTTTCCCAGACACTGAAGCCAACGGTGGTGAAGGTTCTCACCCCCGCTGTGAGTTAGAGCGCGCGCGCACACACACACAGACACACAGTTTACCTTAACCCTTCATGTTCAGACTCATCCTCGCATTCAACACTCTGCTATACGCCCTCACCCTTACAGATGCACACCCCTAGTATCAGTGCTCATAGGGATGTAGGACTAACACACGCTGCACACAGATAGAAATCCACAAAAACCACCTGAAGGCCCGAGAGAGAGGGGCTTAGCCGTGAGGTTCTACGTCTTGCTCAGCAATGAACAGAAGCTGCAATGAAGAAACTGGGGCTGGGGGTTAAGAAGGGAAAGAAAATAGGGCAGAAGAGAGGAAAGGTGCTCGGGAAATGGCTACAGGATATTTATTAGAATTCTCAAAAAACTATCGCGTCGTCTTCCAGAAGAACAGAAGACGTTGTGGGTGGCACAGGCCAACTCCGTGGTCCCGGGCTTTCGTCACTTAGAGCACTGACCACACTGGAGTCCTGCAGTGTTTCGTTTTGGCGAGCAGGCAGGAAGACGGGGAAAAACTACCTGGACCGAGTCTAAACACTTCAAAGTGGGACATAAACTTATCAAGTATATATGTACATAATGGTTGTTTTAGTTGGATGCAAAAGAAAATAAAGGATAAAAATTGTCTTACTAATTAAAAAATGAAAAAAGCATTGAAAACATGACAATAGAATTTTGGTAGAGGATAAGTAGACATTACATTAGTATCATTTGAATAGCCACTGTCATTTACTTTAACCTTGTCTATTGTCTTATCAAGCTGTTAGGTGGCCACACACACACACACACACACACACACACACACATCTTCTGGTTGGTGTCATCCGCTATTTGATCAATGCTCTAAGGGTAGAGTCTTGGACGCCACACCCTTTTGTAAACAGACTATATCCTCTATCTCTGAAGCACAAGATTACCTGGTCTTGACCCAGAGAAAGATGAGAGGCATTTAAGGCATTTCTCATTCCGTTTAGTAAAGTCTGACTCTCTACAAAATAGTTTATTTGCCCTTTTAAAAAGAATTGGGAAAAAATTTCCACTTGGATTGCAAAATTAGTGAACAAAGGTGAACACATGGTTAAAAAAAAAAAAAAAAAGAAGACTGGCAAACAAAGTATTGACTAAATGTTGGTTAGACCTAGTTCCTGCTATCCAACTACTAAAGAGGAACATCAGTCCACAGGGCATCTCAGCATCCTGCTGCCCACGACTTGTTTCGTGTGTGAGCATGTGAATCTATTACCTGTCCCCTTCACTAACGGGACTGGCAGAGGTATTCAGACTGAGAGAAACAGACACTCTCCAAAATAAGACTCTGAAATGGAACGGACCCAGTTAAATGGTACTTGTGTACATTGGTACTGCTTTCGATGATGAAAAGTGGCAACATTCCCACCAGCATGAAAGAGTTGATACCATGCTAGGTAAGGCAGTAACGATGGACGGTTACCCAGAGACGCCAGCTAGGTGGCACTCAAGCAGTCCCTAGGGACAGGTCCTTCTATTAAGTGGATAAGAAAAGGAGCTTTCATTGTCTTTGTTTTTAAGAGGATCTTTAACACTTGGTATTTATGGCGCTGTCAATCTGATGAACTCCACGTATTTTAAACAAAGTGCTTTTTGGTTCCACGATAGACTCAGCCTGCTTTGGAGTAGACCCTTATAGGCACGCAGCAGTTGTCGACATCCAGAACAACAGACCAGCCTGAACCCTGCGGCTTAGGTGGAGAAACAGTATCCGTACTTTATAGAAAAACTGGGGCGCCTTAAGGGACTTGACCAAGGCCACCCAGAGGTGCCAGGACACATCTGCACCACTGCTGCCAGACCCGTCTACAGCTCTGCTACAGATGGTGGGCCGCACACCACTCATGGAGGGAGCCCAGGGACCTGGGGCCACACCTTGCCTGGAGAACACTATCTGCACCCAGCAGGAAGCAAAAGGCCTTTTCCATATGCAGCGAGAGAAGGGGACAGTAAGCTCCCCTGGCTACACTACTTGTGTGAGGTTAATGAAGTCAGGGGCAAAGAGAAGAAAGAGGGAATCAACACTGAGTCTGCGCTCTTCTCTCCTCCAGATGCTCACACACACCCCCGCCACGGGAGCACACGCAGACCCACGGCGCCCCTCCTTCCAAACCAGCCTTTAAAATGATTGCTACAAGATGCATGTTTCTCCATACAATAAATGCACACAAACCCTCCCAGATGCCCACCAAGGACATCAAGACACTTCACAGGAAAAGAGAAAAAGGAACAATTCTAGTTGTGATTTGACCTGACATATACGCCACACCCCCCTCAAGTATCCATACTAGATATACAGCACGCATATACATGTCCGCCATGTATGTAACACACACACATTCACTGATTCGCCTGACTGGTTGGGATTCTATCAGAGCTGTCAGGCTGCGCTGAATCTCCCCCATTAAGAAGCCTTTCAAAGCCTCTGCCCACCCATGGAGACGCAGCCCAGGAGTGATGCTGTGCCTCTAGGGGGCGCCGTGGCTGTCTGGTGCCGCCAGGGTCAGCTTTCCTGGGCCAGAGTGGCGGTGTCACCTCAACTGCAGGCTCAAGGGCTTCATACGAAAGACAGAGGGAAAGAATGAGTCTCTCTTTTTCAAATTCACACACACAACCCTTCTTTCTTATTAACACTGTGCCATAAGATATGCTGCAGATTTGTTCTAAGTTTAGAAAGCAGTAGATGTGAAAGCGTCTGACTTTTTATAGAAAAAAAAAAAAAAAGCAAATGTGGGAGAGACAGTTCCCATGGTCCTGCTCCAGTGTCACGGGGCCCGGCTCACAGGCCCGCTGCGCCTTTCCCAGCTGGAGGAAGTCCGGCCCCAATGCTCCTGGTGCCATCACAGTTCACTTGGCCACCAGCTGTTCCTGACAGTGACAGCTGGAGCATGTCAGGGTGAGGAGTGCTGCTGAGGATGGAAGGATGGCGGAAGACAGAAGGAACAAGGCCGCAGAAGAAGAATAACTGCTATGGCGTAGCGTCATCAGACAGCAACGGAAGGGTTGATCTTGTCCGAGGCCAAAGATGTAAATCGAGTACCTCTGAGGACTCAGAAGTCAACAGGCAAGTGTAGTCCTGAATATTTTGGTAAACAAAACAAAAAGAACAAATAAACAGGCTGTGCAATTGTACAGAACTATTCTTTTTCTATTTCAGGGTAGAGGGGTTTCTATCACGAGTCTACAATGTCGGTCTGTAGAGCTGTGAGAACTCTGAGAAGGCTCCTCCTTCCAAGGACTCTCCGGTACACGTTTGGTTCAACGCTGGGGTCGTTCAGCACTGATGACAGTGACACGGTGGCTGGACCTTCGCCAGCCCCCTCTCACTGGAACGCTTATCTGCATGCTCCAGGCAGACGTCAGTTCTCCTTGTCCTCCTTGGGAGGTGGGCTTTTTGTGGCTCCTAGGTGGTTCCACACCTCTGTATACATTAGGGTCCCAGTGAAGACAAACAAAGTGCCCAGCCAGTGCCACAGAGTGAACGGGTTCTGGAAGTACAAGATGGAGAAGATGAGGCTCACAAACTTGCGCAGCGTCACAACGAGCGTGACGGTGAGGGAGGTGCATTCTGTGGTCAGGATGAACACGCCCCGGATGCACACGTACCTGGAGGAGGGAGTTAAGGTAGTTTTCTGAAGACTGTACTCGAGAGATCAGTTGGGAGAACATTCTGGCATGGTGGCTTAAATGTTCATATTCAGAGAATCTGAGGGCTGGCTAGGGCTCCTCTGGACTCTTCCCTGGTAGAACACCCTACAGAACTCCTGTGCTGCCATTCCAGTGGTGGACCTCAATTAGAAACTGCCTTAAAACCTCCCATTGTCCGTGTTCTGGATTTTCCCCACAGTTTACAATGAAGGTTGTCTCCAGCAACATGACAGAGGGTGACACTCTCAGTAAAGGTGAAAACACACCACCTTCATTTGTTCTTGTCCCCAGTGCTTCCACCTCCTCCTCCAAAGAGGAACTCTGTATGGCAAATCTATGAGGTGACTATAGAAGAATAAGGCTAATCTCAATCCATTTCATTATTTTAAAGATTCAATGATTTCTATGATAAACTAAAGGTAGTTCAAAATAGCCATTTAAAAAAAATTAACTTTTGATTAATTTGAAATATCTTTCAGAATTTTGCGGCAGCTTGTGATAACCTGAAATATCCTAGAATACCAGAAACACCCAGGTAGAAATCACAGATTGTTCATGTCATATACTAATTCTTAAGGAGCCCTGATGGTGCAGTAGTTAAGTGCTTAGCTGCTAACTGAAAGGTCAGCAGTGTGAACCCACCAGTCGCTCCTTGGGAGAAAGATGTGGCAGTCTGCTTCTGAAAAGATCACAGCCTTGAAACCCCTGTGGGGCAGCTCTACTCTGTCCTGTAGGGTTGCTATGAGTTGGAATTGACTTGACAGCAATGAGCTATACTAATTTTAACTATTCATGGGACTTCTAAATTCCCACAAGCATTCCTTTGGGGACACTTACTCCCCTCCATGGGACCTGCTGCTCCATCAGCATCTCTTTTGCCCCCAGCAAAGGAGCTCACTGAATAGCTATCTCTGTCACCTACTTAAAAAACAAACAAAAACCAAACCCGCTGTCATCAAGTTGATTCCGACTCATAGCAACCCTCTAGGACAGAGTAGAACTTCGCCACAGGGCTTCCAAGGAGCAGCTGGTGGACTCAAACTCCCGACCTTTTGGTTAGCAACCGAGCTTACTGCAGAACAAATCAAGGCAAAATCAAAACTCATGTCACTGCACTGCTAGAAGCAAAGAATAAACATTTCCTGTCAAAACAAGACAAGGAGACAATATGGCGGAGGGGTCCAAAGGATACTGAGTGATGACATTCATGAGGAGGTAGAACCACATGATGGGCACCGTCACACCGATGACTGGAACTTGATATAATTCTGCAAACGGTAGAAGAGAGTACAGTCATATTCCTCTCAGACAGCTAAACCTCTCATCTTTGTGAACAAGATAACACAGACTGACCAGAACAGGGGCGGCAACATTATTTCCTTACAGAGCATTACATGTGGATTTGGACCATACATCATTTTGCTTGCCTTGGTTCCAGGGTACATCAGTCTCAAAAGTCATGAGGTGGTTTTTTAAGACAAATAATAATTTATTTTAACTTTTAAATAAATGGTTTAACTGAACAGGGCTCCACTTTACAAAGACAGATGGTGAAGCACAGTGAAGTTCCAGATGGCATGGTCTTAACTGACCATCGACACAAAAGGGAAGACATTTAGAAATATGTACAGTCCTACTAGTAATCAAGGAATTTCAAACTTTAACGAAGATTGTATCATTTCATACCTATTAGCAATTTAAAAATGTATAAATAATGTCCTAATTCTGGCAAGGTGGAAGTGGACTGGCTGGCAGTTGGTGGTAGTGGAATTTGGTGTCTTTCTTTTACAAATCAACTTCCCAATACTTATTAAAAACCAAAACCAAACCTGTTGCCATCGAGTCAATTCCAACTCATAGCAACCCTATAGGACAGAGCAGAACTGCCTCACAGGGCTTCCAAGGAGCGGCCGGTGGATTTGAACTGCCAGCCGGTTCGGTTAGCAGCCGGACACTTAACCGCTGTGCCACCAGGGCTCCTAATACTTATTATGGGCCATGAAAGTGTTCATATCCATTCTTAGGAGTTAATCCTAGAGAATTCAAAAGAAGGAAAAAGTTCTGCGCTCTTTGCAGAAAAGACTTTGAATCAATCTAAATGCCCAATGATGGGGCAAGGGCTACTTAAGCGAAGGTACTTTAAATGAGGTGTTATAATTTGATAAAAAGAGAAATCATAACGATTATATAGTCACATGAAGAAACTCAGAATGAAAGACAATATAAAATTACATCTACACAAGGATTACACCTACGTACAGATATTTACAAGTAGACAATGCCCGGAAGGACACTGTTAAAGATGAAATTAGTTGATGAGAAGGACAATGAAACTGTACCTTTTTTCCCCATCAGATACCTTGTTACATTACTTTTATATAATGAGACTTGCGCAGTAAATATTTGAGAGGAAATAAAATACCCAAGATCAAAGAGAATAAGGGCCTAGCCATCCTCAAAGGGCCAGTTTTCTTTGTACTGCTGAACTGCTTTTGGGGTTTGAATTACACAGCATAATTTAAGAAATTCTGATTAAAGTGAAGCTGAGATCTGATTAGTCAAAGCACATTAATTTTCTTTTGCAAAATGGTAAAAATCCATATGTATGATTAAAAACAATTTGTTATCACTGTGTTCTGGGCTCGTGAGCAACCCCAGAAATCTGGTACTCTTGTCTTCAATACATTTAGCAAGTACTGAAAAGAAGAGGAAGTTAACAGATGTGATTATTGTTTAATAATTTCAGAGATCCACCATATAAATCCGCTGAGGAAAGAGATAATCCATATGACTTAAAATATTTAGATGGGTATTTAGTTGTCTTGGAAAATTTAAGGGATATCAGATTCATCTGAGACACTTAATCTTAAGACAAGCAAGAGAAAGAAAATGTATAATTGAGGATGATCCTGAAGAAGTTGAAGGCAGACTCTAAAATATTTTTTCATAATAAATACCCAGCACTGCGACTTTTAGAACACCCATTCTAGTAACTAAATCAGTTCCAAGGAACTTGATAAAATTTTTATTTCAACAGCTCTTAGCTATGAGAGGAATCTCAGAGACCTTAAAACAGCATAGGTCAAAAATCAGAAATAATTCTAGATGTAATTCAGAGCGTTACAGAGTTTCTTGCACTCCACCATCATCACAAATGCTTTTTTGCCTGAATGGGAGAGGCAACATTACAAATTCAAGCAGAACAGCTGAGCATCACCACTCCCTTCAAAGAGCAAGCAAATATTCACCAGACACCTACTATAGTTCAAAACAAACTCACTACTGTAGAATCAAATTTATATTAAAAATAGGTATTTTACTTTTATTTCAACAGGCCTTTTCTCATCCATGATCTTAAAAATTGCTGACCCAAAATTAATCCACTAGGGTTTTTTTTTTCTCTCTCACTCAAAGTGGCTAATAGACTTTTACTTCCTGTTCCAAAGAGCAGACCATATCAAAACCACTGAACTGTGATTAAATTTCTAGAAGTCCCAGGACTGCAGGTGGGTAGAGGGACAAATCTTCCTGAAGTTACCTTTTTTTTTTTCCATTTATTATCATTATTTTTAACTGTACTTTAGATGAAGGTTTACAGAACAAATGGTTTCTCATTAAACAGTACACATTGTTTTAAGACATTGGTTAACAAACCTCATGACATGTCAACACTCTCCCTTCTTGGCCTTGGGTTCCCTATTACCAGCTTTCCTGTCCCCTCCTGCCTTCTAGTCCTTGTCTCTGGGCTGGTGTGCCCCTTTAGTCTCGTTTTGTTTTATGGGGCTGTCTAATCTTTGGCTGAAGGGTGAACCTCGGGAGGGACTTCATTACTGAGCTGAAAGGGTGTCTGGGGGCCATATTCTCAAGGTTTCTCCAGTCTCTGTCAGGCCAGTAAGTCTGGTCTTTTTATGTGAGTTAGAATTTTGTTCTACATTTCTTAAGTTACCTTTTTAACATTAACTCAGTAGCCATTAAGTCCTTCATCACCATGGAAACCTGTGTTCTTTAAGCAAAAGTCATTTAAGGCTCTGTGAATCCTCCATTCTCTGGAGGAGGTCTCCTCTTGCACGAGGGAACGTTTTCTCCAATGTGCAAATTGTTTGTTAAACACAGAGCAATCAAATGTGGCGTTATTCTTTTGAATAAATGTCTACATTAATTTCAAATGGCTACAATGTAAGTTAGGTATTACTTAGGTATATGCAATGTAAAGCCTTGATTTAAAAATGGTTATTCCTCGTGTGTCCATTTGTCTGTACAGCATTCTATGTCTATTAGTAGATAATCCCATCATATCAGTAACTGCTTGCAGGTTAACTGACAATAGACAGCTAATTTATTAAATAGTCACGTTAGCAAGTAATCCAAAAACCAAACCCATTGCCATTGAGTCGATTCTGACTCATAGCGACCCTACAGGACAGAGTAGAACTATCCCACAGGGTTTCTAAGGAACAGCTGGTGGATTTGAACTGCCGAACTTTTGGTTAGCAGCCGAGCTCTTAACCACTGTGCCACCAGGGCTCCTAGTAAGTAATACCTAACTTACATGGCAGACATTTGAAATTAAAGTCGGCATTTGCTGCCCATCTACCCGGTAACGAATGTGATCTGGGCACAGGAGCCACTGGTGGCAGAGAAGGACGAAGGGAGCAGAGAGCTGGCCTGCTGCCCTACTCCCCCACCTCTCATCTCTGCAGTGTGTTATTCTGTTTGTTTGTGTTTTCCAAACATCAAACATTCCGCGTTCAAATGCAAACACCCAAATTACAAAGCCAAAGAGAAAATGTGAAGATACTCTCTTCCTTTCATTGCAAATAACGGAGAAGTGCCTGTAACAGCTTTTGCTCCTGCAACTGCTGATCAATAGCAGTACATTCCTGAAAGGTGGATGGGGACAGTTTCAAGGACAGATGATTTGGATAAGATCCTGAAAAAAGTAGTGGTCAAGTCAGGAAGAAAGCTGAGACCTGGCCTCAGAAACTGTCAGGTCATTCTCCCGCGTAACCCCAAACTCACCAGATTTACTGAATAGAACTGCGTGCTCATAAATATCAGAAGCCAAGAAGAGGAAACCCGGAAGTGGAAGGGCATGCTGGGGGAAGAAATATTTTACAGAAATTTAAACACAAAACCATTATAAATAGATTAGTTTTACAGTGTTTGACAGTTTTACCAGTAATTTGACAAGCAATATAAAGTAAGAAAAGCGAGTTAGACTTATTACGTGAAACGTAGCCAGTGCTTCTGACCACTTGGCACTGCATGTCATGCTAAAAAAAAAAAAAAAAGTTGCCAGCGAGTCAAATTCGAATCATGGCAACCCCGTGTGTTTCAGAGTAAAACTGCGCTCCATAGGGTCTTTGGAAATTCTGGTGGCATAGTGGTTAAGAGCTACCGCTGCTAACGAATCCACCAGGTGCTCCTTGGAAACCGTATGGGGCAGTTCTACTCTGTCCTATAGGGTCGCTATGAGTCGGAATCAACTCGATGGCAAAGGGTTTTATAGGGTTTTCATGGCTGGGACCTTTCAAAAGCAGATTCCCAGGCCTTTCTTCTGAGCCTCTGGGAGGGGGCGAACTGCCAATCTCTCAGTTTGCGCCACCCAGGGCTACTAAGCCCAAAATTACAGTTCTCGCCCTTAGGGAGTCTGATGGCCCTCACAGACAAAGCAAAAATCAGAGCTAGCATTCTTTCCTCAATAAAAGGGAGTGGGGCGATTTAAATACATAGTCCTCCTGCCCAAGAGGACATGCTACGCTTTACTATTTTTGAAAAATGCTAAGCAAACATAGGATTCAAAAATTATGAAGTGTGCAAAAGGCAGACTTAAAGGAGTTTAGCAAACTAGAGGGAAAAGGGATTTGAGGACAAAGATGAGGTCAGGGAAAAAGAAATGAAGACGAGAATGAAGAGGCTGAAGAGGAAGAAGAAACAAGCAAACAGAGACAAACGCATTGAACGACAACCTCCACCACCCCCAACAATAATGATAAATTACAGCTAATTTACTGGGCGGCTACTATGTGCCAGGCCCTGTTCTCAAAGAGAGAGGTGAACCACCAAGAATGCTCCTGTTGTTGAAATCCCCAGCAGCATACTCTGGCTCCAATTAACTGTCTCCAATTGCTTGTTTGCAACTTCAGTACAAAGGGCTGGCAGCACAGTCATCCCTGGGGCAGCCGTGCCTGGAGGCAACTACCTCACCCCGACCTTGAGGGGCTGTGCTTGGGGCATTATGGTGACAGGAAAGAGGGAGGAGGGAAGGAAGGTCACAGGAGGAGGCTCTGGATCCACAGTTTAAACCCAAGAGGCTCAGACACATAGAATTAGCTCATTAAACCTGCTATCAATGAAAACAGCCCATCTGGGAGAATTTCTCCTCTCACCCCACCTTCCCACACTCCACCCCTCAAATGCCTGCCTGCTCAAACCTCCCCTGCATGGTGCTTTGGAACTCCTTTTCCCTTGCCAGGTGTCCATGTTTGTTTTAACCCGATTTCATCTATGGGAACTTTGGAGGTGAAGGTACCTTGTCCCTTGGGGTTGCCCCTGGTTAACAGACATGTTTTATTCACACTGACTGATCATGGTCATCTCGTGCAGGGAACTGTCTGGTGGCTCAGAATGCAGATTAACCAACCAGTTGCCATTGAGTTGATTCCTACTCCTGGTGACCCTGTGTGTGTCAGAGTAGACCTACTCCACAGAGTTTTCAGTGACTGATTTTTCAGATTTTCAGAACTAAATTATCAGGCCTTCTAAGGCACCTCTGAGTGGACCTGAATCTCCAACCTTTCAGTCAGCTGCTGAGCGCATTCACTGTGTGCGCCACGCAGCAACATTAGCACACTCTTAAAAGTACTTCAGTGCACGCTCCCGATGCAGTCTGCAGATAATAAACTGATCCTTCGACTACACAGCAGGATGGCATATTTCATTTGAAATAACACATTGCAATTTAGTAATCCTCATCTTCCCCAGGTTCAAAAAGTTGCTTACGTTATAAAACAAAGCCTCCTTTGAGTGTTTCCCAAATTGTTTATACAGAGTCTCTTGGAATATACCCATCCTTGCAGACATCAGAAGGGCAAATGTCAGTGCTCCAATACCTGGAAAACAAGCAGCTGGTTACACGGCGCCTACATTTGCCCATTTCCACAAGTTTTCCTAAAGAACATTAACTTTTCGAAATTATACAAAGATTGCAAACCAACTATTTGTAGAATATTTTAAAAAGAAATAAAAACCAATCACAACATTACATCCAGTCCTTTATAGTTCTCTCTCTGTAAATACATTTACACGTATATTTTTTTACACTAAGAAAGGATCAGATTGCACATGTAATTCTTTATCTTGCTTTTTCCACTATCTTTTTCCTGGACTTTTCCTTCATGTCATTAAATTTTTTTCCAAAGTGATGGTTTTGTGGCTGCATAATATTCTATCATGTGAATGTACTATGCTTAAATTTCCTACAATATGAGAATGGTTAGATTATTTCCAACAATTTCATTATTAAAATCAGTGCATATCCTTGTGCATGCATCTTTAAACAAACTGTTGATTATCTCCTTAGGATAAACTCTCATAAATGGAATTACTGAGTCAAAGGTTGTGAACATTTAAAAAACTCAATACACATTTTTTTTTTTCCAGAAAGGGCGTATCAATTTCTACGCCCAATAGTTCGTATGAGAACGGTTGTCTGATTGCAACCTCAGCAAACAATAAGAATTATCATTTATTATCTTGCCAATATGATAGGCCAAAAATAAAAAGGTAGTGCATTTTTGTTTCAATCTGCATTTCTAGTGAAGCTGAACATAAAATTATTGAGCATTCGTTTTTCCCTTATAAATTGTATGCTCATATCCTTTTTTGGGTAAAGTATTTTTCTAATAGCTCATAAAGAGCTCTTTTTATGTTAAGAATAGCAACCTAAAAAGATAAAGTGTCCAACCCAAGAAGCAAGGAGAACATAGTTCTTTTGTTCCTATTTCTCCTCCACTTTCTAAGTCTCAACCTGTTATTGCCATCACTGACAGCACCTGGAGAGTTCACCTCTGGTATCACACAGTGTGAGAACAAAGCTCTACAGTAGTGGTCTAATTAATTCCTCAAAGAGATACTTGTGTTTTAAAAAATTCCCCAGGAGACTGTGAGGAGCAGCCAGGCTTGGGAACACTGCCATACGGAACAGCAAACTTAAGAAGAAAATAAACCCAAGATTTGGAAATAGGCCCCTTGGAAATTTGAAAGGCCACTGCTCTCATGTGCTCTTCTTTTGCAGAAGCTCCTACTCATTGGACAGATGATAAAGAAATGGATGGTGCTCCAAACACTGCTCCCCAAGCGGGATGGGCAAGTAGGCTCAGACACTCCTGTCTCCACCAATGGCAACTAAGAAAACATGGACCCATGTTAGAGAAGAGGCTGTCTTGAGCACAGACAATTTCTTGAACACCTCAGAGTGTTCAGAGACCCGCACTCCCAGGAGGCTCTCTCTTCCGCGGTATAATGTGTTTAGCCAAAGCTTCTTGCCAAGAAATACGCCCCTTAGGAGAAAAGTCAGCAAACAGAACTGCAGAGGCAATTAGCTTCAGGGTAATTACTGTACTTGCCTAGTAACCACCATGCAAACGCCTGGAATCCATCATTCTCACTCATGCTGGGCTGGGAAGTCTAAGAAATAAGGAAAAACACCAGGTACAGAGATCAGAGCGACAAGCAGGTACTCAGATATGAGGGAAACATGTATGCTACCCACTTCCCTCCACTCGTCTCTATCAGAAAGAGATCCAAGTCCTTGCATTATGAAAGCATTCACATTTATTTTGTTACTAAGTGCCTGGGCCCCAACAGCAAGGAGTGGGTAGAAATGATGTGGGAAATGATTCTTACCACCTGCTTCGCTGACATGAAAGTGCAAATAAATATCCCCACAGACACCAAGGCAATGGAGGTGTATTTGAATACGCTGTATCTGCAAAAATAAGAAGAAAACATCTCAGGGAAGCACAGATACGAATGTCTGCATGATATTTATAGTCAGATATGGCATGAGAGTACAAATTACTAAAATATGACGGTCTGAATCACTCCCCACCAGAGTCTATGGAAGTATGTCGAGATACTGATTTATTTCTACACAACACACATCCCTGGTGTAGTTCAAAAATAGTTTCCAGTAGTTTGTTGGCCAATACATAGTTTGTTTCACCAAAAAACAAAAATAGAAATAGATGAGACATGACATTCCATTTTGCTCTCAAGTGTCCAAATCAGAGCCTGACTCAGACCTTAAGTGGAATCTACTGTTTTCCTGTCTTTAGGGGGCCCGGCCCTGAATCTTAGGATACACCCCATGTAAGAGGAAGAACAGGGCATCAGATATAAGTAGCAGGATTCAATACTCAGAAGAAGGATTCAATTGTCCATTTTCAAGGGAGAGGATTTTTTTTTATAGTCTCAGAATGAAATGACTTCAGCGTTGTTTTTAAAGGTTGGTGTAGTTGGATAAAATGGAATATTCCACCTAGAGAACTATCAGCAGTCACTAACAGTGGCATTTCGCATTAACTAAAGCAGCATCATTAGCATCCCTCTCAGACTCTTGGTGATAAAGCAAAGGGCCTCAGGCAAGAATGAAAAGAAACTTACAGGATGAAACCATTCAAGGTTTTCTACTCAAATACTTTGCACAGACCTGGGCACAGCACCTCCTAAGAGGCCAACAGAACCAGCTAAGAAGCAAAAAAAGTGAAGTAGAAGGCCTACGAGGACCAGGATAGTGGGGGAAGAGGGTGGGGTGAGGAAGCGGGCATTATTGAGGGCAGATCTACAAACAGAGAACTCTTCAGTCTGCAAAGACAATGAGGAAGAGGTTAACTCAGGCCAAAAACATAAGGAAGGACACAGTGAAGGTAAACATCGACTTGGTCCTCGATTCCTGGAATAATGAGCGCACTATGAATGAACTCCGGGGGCTTCCAGCCGAGATAAAGAGATAATAAGTTACTCATTCACTACATTAGATAGTTAACTTACAGAAATTCTTGCTCTATGGGTGATTCATACTGAAAAGAGTCAAACAGGCTTTGGTAGATCAAGATAAGAAACCCAAAACGAGTTCTTAAGGGAAACAGATGCTTGAGAAAGGCCCTGCACATTTGGGGTAAATACCAGGAGAACACAAGCCCTTCTAGGACATGTTCCTTTGTACCCCTGTTATGGGGCCAAAATCAAAGGTCAGAAGGACCAGAGATACGTCCCAAGGTGGTGATACGGTAATTTCAATGCTACCAAGAAGCACAATGGTCATTTCAAACGGAACAAATGTGAGTATGATATATGCATGCTTGAATGCAGAGAACCTAGAAGACAGACATCAACGACAATGGTATTTATCTGGGGAATACATAAGCCTCAGGAGACACAGGGTCCATGATAAGGAACCTAATAGGACAGGACAATTGTCCTTTGTATGATACAGCCATCATTACTTAAAAATCTAGGCTTTCACAGGCTGAAATGACAGGCCGCTTTCTAAACTAGTACAGAGTTCCAGTACCAGGGCTGGATCTGGAATACACTGAGAAATTTCCCCAGACTCTGTGTGTAAAGCCCTTTTCCTTGGGAGTGAGGGTGAGGCTCAGAATGAAGGTGGAAGACATAGACTTTGAAAAAGCATCCCAGGCACTTCTGGTATTTCCCACCTACCCCGAGAAAGCCACTGGTGACAGAATCACGAACGTTTCTGAAACTTCCCATCCCATCTCCTTGGCCATTTAGGCCTTTTCGGAATTTCCTTTCTAATAGGTATGAGTATCCCTTAGTTCATTACTTTGCACTGATGAACACCTTCTATGACACCACTGCCTGACAGAACTTCTGTGCTGTTGGAAATGTTCTATATCTGGGCTCTTCAATACAGTGGCCACTAGCCACGTGTGGTAGCTAAGCATTTAAAATGTGACTAGTGAGGCTGAGAAACTAAATAGTCTGTTTAATTTTAAGTAATTTAAATGTGAACAGTCGCATGAGGCTGGTGGCTATGATACTGGACAGTGCAATTGTAGATCAATTGGCTTCGTAGGTGAGCATGGTGCTAACGATTCAATGACGACAGGAGCTAGTCAGCTCTATGCCAAAAGAACACTGCTCCAAAGCCACAGGTGAGGTCTCTTAACTTGGTCAACTGCCTCATAAATATGCATGACTGGTCACAGCGAGAACTAAGAAAACAGGTAGATGGCCAAGAACAAATGGATCCCCACCATGGGAGAAGGAAACCAGATGCCTAGCTATGGATGTTGGCTCAGCATAGCACTCCTATGCATAAGATAGGAAAGTGCATTATTTACCTTTTCTTCAAAATGATAATTCCCAGAATCATGCTGGCAATCAGAGAACCCTGCAGAGGAGAGAACAGGAACAGAGAGTTAGCACATCAGGGAAAGACAGTCACGTAATTCAAGATAAACTGGAACACGGACAAGGCGGGGAGAGGAAATAGTTGGAAAGAAGGAGGTTATGATGAATAATTAGTAAAGTTCTGTTGTTCTTAAGATAGGAAAAAGTATAGACCACAAAAACCTATCAGGTAAACTAATAAAACCTTTTACAGACGACAATGAAAATAAAAGTGGTCAATTCTCAATAATTGGTCCTGGTTGAAGCCAGGGCTGGCAGGAATAAACTATATCACAGACTCATTTTTTGTCAACTTTTCCATCTATCGAATTTGTAAGTGCTTTTGGTAAGTGGTGCTCCTGCCCCCGACAGCTTCAGGGAAAGGAGTCATGTGAGGCTCTATCTATTCCCTGGAAGGCATCCATCAGCAGGTATTTATTGAAAGTCTACTATGTGCTCAGTACTTTGAAGGCCATCTTAGTCATTATAATTGGCCTTGGAAATTCTCTTTGGGACGAGCACGTTCAATCTCACAAGAATCTCAGACACGGTATAATGTTATAACTCCAATTATCATCTATTTTGCATTCTTCTGCAATCTGAACCATATTCCGCTTGAACTCTTTCCTGCCCTTCAGGGAACACGGTTGTTATTTATATACGTACTACACACAGAGCCCCTCACCACGCACGAGACAGAGAAGACCACTACTGCTTTGGGAGAAAGCCCACCCTCGGCAAGAGTTTTCCCTTATTTAATTATTTCAAGTCTCTGCTTAAATAAAATCATGAAAGCAATGTACCTGTTCCATGTACTAGAAGCAAAGTGAATTTTATGGAAGAAACAAACAGTAAAGTGATATGAAGTTAAACGAGATTAATAGCCAGTTGAAATGTAAAAATCAACCAGATGAAGGAAATTAAAGGTAAAATCTAGTTCTGAGGGAAATTTTAACTTTCCTTTTAGGAATCACTCCTCAGCGCTGAGACAAATGAAACAAAAGCAAACCCCCACTTTCCCATCGCTCTCTTTTCGCCTTACTTCTCAGATGATAGCCGACCTCTCTGGCCACTCCCTCACGACACCGATTCTCATACCCTAGACTTCACCGCTCACAAGACCTTCTCAATCTACCTACTGAGCGATATTCTCAGGGGCCGTACGCGTGCGAATGGCAGCACTCACAGATCTGAAGATCATGTGCAGGGGCATGGCGATGTTGAGATTCAGGGCGTAGTTGTTAACCACGCTGACGGTGAAGAACATGGTGACCATCACGGCATAGTACCTGGAAAGCAAGGGGAAGACCCCATCACACAGAATCTACCACTTCAAGAGGATCAAGCCTAGAAGGAAATATATTCTTGGTTCAAAAAAGTATTTTGGTTGTTTTCACGGTATTAAAGGATTGTATCACTATTATCATGGGAAGTCCAATACTGTTGTTAGGTGCCGCTGAGACTCATAGCAACCCCATGTGACAGAGCAGGACACAGTGTTTTCTAGGCTTTACAAGAGCAGATCACCAGGTCCTTCTCCCACAAAGCCACTGAGTAGGTTTGAACCGCCAACCTTTTGGTGAGCAGCTGAGTGATTAACTGTTGTACTACTCCTTGAAGTACAATACTAAGAATATATAAAAGTACTTTACATAGCCAGACTTATATGGGAAATGTATGGATTATAGATTATGTTTAAAGAAACACTTTTATGATTTTTAAAGTATATACAGCAACTTAAAACTAGGCTTTAGAAGTGTTAGCTGACAGACATGCTAGGTTTTTTTAAAGCGAACAGATAATTTTTCTTCTTGGATCAATTTTTTGTATTTAATTTTCATCTACCTCTGAAATACCTGAAAATGATGAATTCTCTCAAATAGTTCCTCCATACTCTTGTTTATATAATTAATTTTCACTATTTCTAAAGAAAAATTTTGCCAAGTCGAGGGCTACTTGGAGCCGAGCAACTGTTAAAATTATCCCACACTCTGCATCAGTAGCATCTGAATCAATGAGGACATCACCTGACTTGTACAGATTTGTATTGAAAATCAAGGTTTTGAGGACGTTCACAGGTCTTCAAATGAAAACAAAAACTAAAAAAAAAAAAAAATCCAGTAATCCCAATAATTTACAAGGACAAAGGAATGAAGGCAAATGAACAATCAATGAACAAATTAATTAATTAAATAAGCTTACATTTTTCGGCCTCACTTTGATCTAGAAAACATTTAAGATGCCTTTCATACATATTTTGTGAAATTATATAAACCTGCCATGTTTTGTTGGTCAAAAAGGGGTAAATATCAGCAATTTCATATGATTCGACCTAATACATGCAATCAGAGAAAAGGTAACATTTAAAATTAAATAAAATAAAAGAATACAGGACAAAAGTAAGTAAGAGACATGATATTGGAAGTTTAAATTTTGACACAAATTCCTACGTATTTGCTTGTGGTGAGTCACAAATATTGTTTTAAGCTTTCTAGCTTCAAGACAAAAAAGGAGACGAGATTGTTTACATCATAACGTATTTTCAGCTCCTTAGAATGACAACTATTCCAGAAAGAAATGTCTCCCATCGGTGTCCATAAAGAGGTTTCTTTACAATGTCCTGTGCCATGTCCTCAACAGTATCCTCTCAACAAACAGACTAACAACTTTGACACACTCTTCCAAGTGACGTTCTTCAAAGTGGAGGAACACGAAAATATCCAAGAGCAGTTCAGGAATATGAGGGGCGGGGCACAGGATCCTACAGGCCAGGGCAGAAGCTATGTGATGGTCTGGGTCGATCACTTGACTTGTGTAGGTTTTGGAATACCTGGAATGATGTTTCCCAAAGTCTATTTCCTGAACTGCTAGTTCCCCGGAGATGCGTTATGGAAAAAGGGTAGAAAAAATGTGGGAAATGAAAGGTTTCAAGAGTAGTCCTTAGGAGACTGATGATGATAATCAGCAAATTAAAGGCCCTGAAAAGTTGTATCCAGCGTTTCCCTGAGATTTTAATCCTGGAACCCTTTTTAATATGTGCAATAGTCCCATACTCTTCAGGACATGCTGGTCTGTGTGCACAGATTCCCAACCTTTTCCACCTCTACACACCTGAAGAACATGACGGCAGTGGGTCTCCATCTACGTTCCATGACGGGACCTATTCTGTGTGCTGTTAGGCATGCAGCCGGAAGCCCTGATAGGCAGCCATTGCTGTTGTTAGTTGTCTGGAGCCTCTTCCGACTTATGGTGACCCCATGTGTGCAGAGTAGAACTATTCCATAGGGTTTTCAAGACTGTGACCTTTTGGAAGCAGATCACCAGGCTTGTCTTCCAAGGCGCCTCTGAATGGGTTCAAACCACCAACCATTTTGCTAGGACGTAAGCGCTTAACTGACTGTGCCACTCAGGGACTAATAGGCAGCCAAGCCAGGGCTAAATGAACACAGTCTGGGCAGTGTGAGTCTCTTTACAATGAATACAGAACACAGTATCATATATGTGCGAAATCGCTAGCAACAGCTAAGTAATACTATTGGTGCCGACTCCACAATGTTCCTTGCCAAACTGTCTCAGTCCTGTCTTGAAGAGATGCCATTTGGAGACAGAGTGCATCAAGGATAGAGTACCTCAGAAGAATCAATTCCAGTGTATCCTACATTGCTGCCCACACAGCACTGCCTCGAAATTGCTCATGAGGAAGAGTGACACAGGCAAGATCTGGATTCCAGCTTCACACACAGAAGATGAAACAGCCACCACAGACAGGACACACTTGGGGGTATGGCTGTTTAGGCAGGCTCACGGGGAGCCTCACCAGGCAGGGGGTGGAGCCTGGACTTCACTGTGAACATAATGGTACCCCCGAGAGCCTGTGAGCTGGAGGGGGCCTGAGAAAGCTGTCGGAAGTTAAAAGTGGAAGGATGAAGAGGCAGGAGGCAGGGAGGTCAGGAAGCTAGGGTACTATTATAAGTTATGGTACAAGTAATAAGGCCCCGAACTATGCCTGTGGCAGCAGAATGGGAAAGATAATGGGAGGAGGAAGGAAAGGGTCAGAGGAGTCCAAAAATACCACCATTCTTACTGTGACATAAATGCCAGTCTTCAGAAGCAGTTTTATTAAAAAAAAAAAAAAAATTTAGAATATTTAGCGTCCATGAGAAAACTTACAAGTACAATACTAATAACAAAATTCAGCTAGGTTTTCTACAGCCGGCTCCCACGAACGCTGTAAAAGAACACCAGCAACAATGAGCCTTCACTTGAGTACCTGGACACAGTTAACACCAGAATGTCGCCCTCAAAGAGATGAAGTGACAACATCCTACCAACTACTCCAAAATGCATGGACTACACTTTTATCTCAAGCCTCTCGCGGCAAGAATGCTGAGTTTTCAGCACGTTGTTTATTATAAGAACTGCCCCATGAGTAGAGTTATGCAAATCTGGACTAATGGACAGAGATCTGGAATCGACCAGCCTGCCTTGGCATGCCATGCAACTTTAAAAAGGAACGACAATCACACTCTCAAAACATCTCACAGCTTTCCCGGCATAAAGGATAGCATACAGATTATTACAGAATTTTTGTGGTAAAACTAGGCTTTTGGCTGATCATGGAGCCCTGGTGGCGCAGTGGTTAAGAGCTATAACGGCTGCTAACCAAAAGGTGGGCAGTTCAAATCTACCAGCTGCTCCTTGGAAATCCCATGGGGCAGTTCTACTCTGTCCTATGGGGTTGCTATGAGTCAGAATTGACTCGACAGCAGTGGGTTTGGTTTGGTTTTGGTTTACACTATACATGGAGCCGAGTGGCGCAGTGGTTAAGCACTCTGCTGCTAACCAAAAGGTTGGTGGTTTGAACCTACCAGCTACTCCATGGGAAAAAAGACCTGGTGATCTGCTCACATAAAGATTACAGCCTAGGAAACCCTATGGGGCAGTTCTACTCTGTCATCTAGGGTCACTGTAAGTCGGAATTGACTTGACGGCACACAAGAACACACTATACATACACACATATAGACAGAGAGTTGTCTCCGTTATAGGTAATTTAAGTGTCGTGGCAAGAACTTTATACTAAAAATGGGATCGCTGGAGTTTTATGACATATTAAATTCAGAAATAAATTCTTATTCTACTAATATCTCTGATACAAATTTTAAGAGAGAATGACTCACACTCCTTTTATACAGGCACCAGAAAAGCTCTTTTAAAAAACAAAAGTTAAAAGACTTCAACGTGCCATACCTTATTGGGATAGCCGGCCGCTTCCTTCCCAAATCCGCTTCAAAGAGAAAGCCTTCCACAGCAATAAATAAAAACTGTGCAAATGTCACGATATTCCCACATCCTGGATGCTTCCTGTATAAAACAGGAGATCGCAAAAAGGGAAAGAAAAAAAGGCACAAAAATGAGATATAGGGCACTGACGAGACGTGTTACATTGCTCTTTCCTGAGTAACAGGGTTGACTGCGATTGCCCACCGTTCTTCTTCCTCTAGACTTTCACATTCCATGGATCACAGACATTTAGCATTGCACCCACAGAGAAAAACCCTGACTGTCAAGCTTTCCCCATTTGAACATTTGCCTAGGTTTACCATGCCATGGGTAAGAATCCCTCCGACATACTCCTTCTGCAACTACAACACAACTCCCCCAGGAAGCTGTAGGAGATCAGTCGCACATTCTCACTGAAATCCTTATATAACCAAGAGGACTCTAGTCAAGATCCTGGAGTGTTTATATCTCCCCCCAACCAGGAAGCATGGAGACTGCTGTCAATCGAAGAAATGTACCCAGTGTAGAGACGGGGTGTCACTTTAGGTAGTGCCCAAGGGGGCAAAAATTGGTTCTTGTAGGTGCGGGGGGGGGGGAACCTTATTTCTTTTCTTTTATATAAGTTTAAAGCGCAGATACATATAAATAGGTATACAGTATATCTGTGGAATGGTGATTAGGAAAAAATGTCTAAAAAGACCATTGGGAGGACTATAATGAAAACAAGATTGAGAAACACTGCCACAGTCTTCTTTCCACGACACTTAACACAGTGTTTGACTATACAGGTGGTCACCAGGCTACTCACATCGGACTTACATACAACCAGTAGTTACCAACCAACCCCTATTATATTAACAATTCGAGGTACATACAATGGATCGTGTACTAACACACAGATGCTACTTTGCAACACACATCAAAACATTTACTATTATTATTACTGTATTATTATGTTAAAGATGTTTTAGTGTATCTGGTAGTATGTCTTTACTGTTTTTTAAACACAGAAAGGCACACTATATACTACATACTATATACTAAGACAGACATCTGGCTGATATTGGGTAAGTACCGTACCTAACTGGTCCAATTTACCTACAAATTTGACTTAAAGACAGACTTAGGAACGGAACTCGTTCGTAATCCGGAGACCATCTATAATAGGGAATTAAATCGAACCTCTTCAGCAATCTATGGAAGCGTTATAGAATCCTCTACAGGAACAAATTTATATGGTAGAAAAATTGCTGTTGACATCTCTCATGACGCAGTCTGTGAAAATTAGTTACTTAAAATGTTTATGGTTTTCTTGAACTTGTCCTCCACTGGGGTCTGCTCCATCATTGGAACAAGTACAGAGTGAGCAGCAAGTTGTCTTTGCCTTTCTAAAGCTGCCAGATTTCCATATTACTAATATTTATGCACCTTCATATTCTGTATTTTCACCTTGACCAAGGATATTTACCTGAAGCTTGTGATTAGAAGGATTTAACTGTATTGTTAAATATTAATATACACATTATATATTAAGATAATGCCATTTATTAAAAACTCCATTCTCTAATGGTGGTATTATTAAATAGCAAGGCGAAGGTATACAAATTCTTAAATACACCTATCACACATGAACACAGACAATCCCAGACGTGAGTCATTCTTGTGTAGGGCTATGCTTGCCATCTTTAGGAACACTGTTACTACCTTCTTAGCCCTACTGCCCCTGAAGGGAAGGAGCCCTGGTGGTGCAGTGGTTAAGTGCTCAGTTGCTAACCGAAAGGTTGGCGGTTCGAACCCACCAGCCACTCCACAGGAGAAAAGAGCTGGCGATCCGAACCCATAAAGATTTACAGACTTAGAAACCCTATGGGGCAGTTCTACTTTGTCCTATAGGGTCGCTATGAGTCAGAATTGGCTTGACTGCAACAAGTTTGTGTTTTTTTGGCCCGTGAAGCTTTCCTTGAAAACTATTGCTTTATATTCAATTCAATAATGTCTCTTTGAGCATTTATCATGGTCAAGCGACAGGGTAAATGCTGCAGGAATCCATAAAAGATCATGGGAGGCATTCACAGCACTCAAGGAGCAAATTAAAACCACTAGCCTAAGCAGAGGGAGCCCTGGTGGTGCAGCGGTTAAGTGCTCACCTGCTAACCAAAAGGTCAGTGGTTCGAACCCACCAGCTGCTCCTCAGGAGAAAGACGCAGCAGTCTGCTTCCATAACGGTTTAAAAAAAAAAAACCCGTTGCCGTCGAGTCGATTGTGACTCATAGCGACCCTGTAGGACAGAGTAGAACTGCCCCATGGTGTTCCCAAGGAGCAGCTGGTGGATTCCAACTGCTGACCTTTTGGTTAGCAGCCAAACACTTAACTACTGGCGCCGCCCCTATGGGGCAGTTCTACTCTGTCCTACAAGGTTGCTATGAATCGGAATCGACCCGATGGCAATGGGTTTTTGGTTTGGTTAGCCTAAGAAGAAGCGACAGGAAAAGGAACTTTAACTCCGGGTAGTTCCTAGCGCAGCCCTTTTCAGCTCCGGCTAGGCACCAGAATCACCTGCTCTTTAAATACCCACATCTTCGCCCTCCCAGTAGTGATTTAACTGGTCTGCACCTTTAAAAGCTTCCCACTTCCTTTTTATGTGCAACCGGGGTTGAGAACCACTAGCCCAGGTCTGGTGAAAGGGACAGGAGTTGTATGGTTGTGTGTTTAAGATCCACCGGCAGTTTCTAAGTGCTGCCTCGAGTTGAGAACCACTGTGTTCTACAGTGGTTAAAAGTACAGACTGACATGCAAGATCCAGGTTTATCGTATCCTATGTGACAGTGGAAGTTAATTATCCTAAGTCTAGTTTTCTAATCTGTGAAATGGGAATGGAATTAGTGCCTATCTCATTGGATTATTGTACAGTAAATGCGCCAATCCCTGAAAAACACTTAGCACACCACCTGCCAGAGAGAAAAAGGCAAAGAATAAGACAAAAAGGACGGCCAGTATTCAGGATCTTGTATACTGAAGTCCCACCACTCATCTGTCAGTCTGTTGTACTATGGTGGGGCTTGCGTACTGCTGTGATGCTGGAAGCTTTGCCACTGGTATTTCAAATACCAGCAGGATCACCCATGGTGGACAAGTTTCAGCAGAGCTTCCAGACTAAGACAGACTAGGTAGAAGGACCTGGCAGTGTATTTCTGAAAAAACTGGCCAGTGAAAACCTTATGAACAACAGCGGAACACTGTCTGATATAGTGCCGGAAGATGAGCCCCTGAGGTTGGAAGGCACTCGAAAGACAACTGGGGAAGAGTTGCTTCCACAAAGTAGAGTTGACCTTAATGACGTGGATGCAGTCAAGCTTTTGGAACCTTCGTTTGCTGATGTAGTACAACTCAAAATGAGAAGAAACAGCTGTGAACATCCATTAATAATCAAAACGTAGAGTGTCCGAAGTATGAATCTAGGAAAACTGGAAGTCATGAAAAATAAAATGGAATGCATAAACATTGATATCCTAGGCATTAGTGAGCTGAAATGGATTGGTATTGGCCGTTTTGAATAGGTCAACCATATGGTCTACTATGAGGGAATGACAGCCTGAAGAGGAACTGCATCGCATTCATTTTCAAAAAGAGCATTTCCAGATCTATCCTGAAGTACAATTGTCAGTAACAGGATAATATCCATACGCCTATAAGAAAAGACCCGTTAATACGACTATTATTCAACTTACGCACTAACCAGTAATGCCAAAGATGAAGAAATAGAAGATTTTTACAAACTTCTGCAGTCTGAAATTGATCAAACGTGCAATCAAGATATATTGATAATTACCGGTGATTAGAATGCAAACATTGGAAACAAAGAAGAAGGATCAGTATTTGGAAAATATGGCCTTGGTGACAGAAACAATGCCAGAGATTGCAAGACAGAATTTTGCAAGACCAACGACCTATTCATGGAAATACCTTTTTTCAACAACATTAATGATGACTATACACACGAACCTCACCAGATGGAATACACAGGAATCAAATCGACTACATCTATGGAAAGAGATGATGGAGAAGTTCAATATCATCAGTCAGAACAAGACCAGGAGCCAAATGTGGAAAAGACCATCAATTGTTCACATGCAAGTTCAAGATGAAGTTGAAGAAAATTAAAACAAGTCCACAAGAGTCAAAGTACAACCTTGAGAATATCCCACCTGAATTTAAAGACCATCTCAATAAGAGATTTGACCCACCGAACAGTAATAACCAAAGATCAGACGAGTTGTGGTATGACATCAAGGACATCATACATGAAGAAAGCAAAAGGTCATTAAAAAGAGAGGAAAGAAAGAAAAGACCAAAATGGATGTCAGAAGAGACCCTGAAACTTGCTTTTGAATGCAGAGCAGCTAAAGTGAATAGAAGAAATGATAAAGTAAAAAAGCTCAACAGAAGACTTCAAAGGCTGAAAGCAGGGAATACCAGAAAGATGTTTACTGGTGTTTTACTAACTCTGCAAGGCATTCGACTGTGATGATCATAACACATTATGGATAACACTGTGAAGAACAGAAATTCCAGAACACTTCATTGTGCTCACGCGGAACTGTAGATAGACCAAGAGACAATCATTCAAACAGAACGACGGGATACTGCATAGTGTAAAATCAGGAAAGGCATACGTCAGGGTTGTATCATTTCACCATAACTATTCAATCTGTATGCTGAGCAAATAACCCAAGAAGCTGGACTATATGAAGAAGAATACAGCATCAGGGATGGAGTAAGACTCATTAACACCCTGTAATACACAGATGACACAAACTTGCTTGCTGAAAACAAAGAGGACTTGAAGCACTTACTGATGAAGATAAAGACAACAGCCTTCAGTATGGATTACACCTCAACATAAAGAAAACAAAAATCTTCACAGCTGGACCAATAAGCAACATCATGATAAATGGAGAAAAGATTGAAGTCGTCAAGGATTTCATTTTACTTGGATCCACAATCAACACCCATGGAAGCAGCAGTCAAGAAATCAAAGGATGCACTGCCTCGGGCAAATCTGCTGCAAAAGATCTCTTTAA